CTCTTCATCTTCATCTTCATCTTCATCTTCATCTTCATCTTCGTCTTCATCTTCATCTTCATCTTTTCTTTATCTTTATCTTTGTTTTTGTCTATATTGTCTTTACATTAGTCTTTCCCCGCCCAATTGGCGTTTAGCGCAGCTATTCGTTTTGTATACCCGCCATATACTACCTTTACCGTGGCGTTAAATATATATCGCAAACATATCGGAGCTGTAATATTAAGATTCGCTTCAATAATTTGTGTTTAACTTTTTAAACAGGTGGTCACCGTCTTCAAGCAACTCAAAAATATTTTAATTGTGTTTCTTTAAGCCCTTTCTTTTCACGCTTACTATATAGTATTTTATGAATAAGACTTTTTTATAATTTGACTTTTGAAACAGGTGGCAACCCTCCTACATGTAGCTGAAAAATACAGTTTATTCAAAACCATTTCTTTTGATACCCATATTGGGATAATTCATTTAACTTAATAAATAATTTGAATTTGATTTTCGTATATATGGCAACCCTTTAAACAACTAAAACTATATTGCACACCCGAAGGACAAGGCCTTTCATGTGACACCTCATTTTTGAAAATCGAACGAACGATACAGATTTTATGCCTTGGTGTTAAATATTTAACGCAACCTTCTGCGGCAGAGAAATTTTGAATTCGTTTATCTAACATGTGGCAACTCCTTTCATGGAACTAAAGCTATGTTACACACCCGAAGGACAAGGCCTTTCATGTGACACCTCATTTTTGAAAATCGAACGAACGATACAGATTTTATGGCTTGGTGTTAAATATTTAACGCAACCATCTCCGAACTCGATTAAGAAGTTTCACTTCAAAAAAAAAAAAAAAACACTCTTGCTCATATACCCGTAGTTGCGTACGTAACGTATACGCCCCATAGACCGTACGCCCTCATCCTAACGCGTTCACTCGCGCGCCTTAACTTAAAATACATATTATTTAAAAGTAATTAAATATTGGCGTGGGAGTTCTCTACACAGTATTCCTTATGCAAATATATAAGCCGTTTATTTTGAAATTGTTGTGCTTAAAAGACCGGCTACTTCTAGCCGAATGCATCTGTAAGCCGCTCTATCATCATAAACTAAAGATAAAACCGTCTACCTTTGGTTGATGAAGTTGAAGGAATAACCGACGCGTTCAGATAGCAGTAACCGGTCATTTAAGCACAAGAGGTTCGAAGAGACTTATGCCACTTTCAAAATAAATGGCTAACATATTTCTTTCTTCATGTATAAAAAATTTTAGATTGAATTTCGAGTTTGCCAATAAAAATTAAAAAAAAAAATTAATTTATTTTCTTAAATCATAGTCATCTTTTGCTCAGTGTAATTTTTTTCATTTGGTGAGACATTAGCCTTATTACAGGTTCGTGTGTTTTGGCAAGAAGAACATTTGCATCGCTTAGTTTTAACATTTTTATGTAACTTAAATTATTAAAATAAAAAAATCGTAGAATTTCAAAGATTTCAAAATAGCTGCGACAAATGTTCTGCGTGCTGCCATTTTTTTTTTTAATTTCGTGGTGTACTTTTGAAACTTCACAGATATGTTGTGTTCGGTGCCAACATCCTTTGCCTCTAATATGAAAATTCTATTTGAAAACTTCCCCAAATTTTAACAAAAAAAAAAAAAAACAATTATGATTTTTCGAGTGGCAATGAAAAATTTAGTAATTTCGCTACTTTTTCACCTAACTAAACGTTTTAAGGCAAAAATTATTCAAATATGTACTTGATTTATTTTTTGATTGAAATAAAAGCAAGAAGAATACTTTGGCGTTTTTTTTCTGCCGAAAGAAGGTAGTGACACTAAAAACACAACTCCTGAGATGTGCTCATATGTATGTATGTACGTACCACCTGGCTGTACCCAACAAATACTGGAATAACAGTTTTCAAACGTTTGAAAAAATTTTATTTCTCAGTTTGATTTTCAGCATAGTTTATCATTTGAAACTAACTTTTTTCTCAAATTTTTCTCAAACATTGTTTATCAACTTAAGAACGGTTTGAGAAAAAATTTTTTAGCATTCCGTTCCGTTCCATCTGTGTCAACATGCATTAAATAATATTTTTATAATAAACAAAGTGATTTATGTTATATTAAAAGATTTATTAAGAATGACAAAGGAGCTTACGCTCTATTGAAAATGTCATAAATCTAAATAAAACAATCGTTTAAAACTTTTTGGGGAAAAATCGCAATAAATCCCAAAATCTGATAAAAAGTTTGAATTTTTTCCCCTAAATGCATTTTTTAAGAATTCAATGGAGCATAAACACTTTAATTATATATGTATACTCAAAAATTAAATATTTTTATTTTGCAAAAACTTACTTCTCAAACTGTGTTTATGTAACTACATAATTGTAAAACAAACTATGTACCTAATTTTTTACATAAACCATACTTTTCTTTGTTAAACTAACTGTTCCGATCCACTCACGCTTGAGAAAAAGTTGAGAATTCAACAATTCTCAATTTGAAACTAAATTAAAATTTCATATTAAAAATGTGCATTTTACTTTGAGAACGCTATCGAGGATTGAGAAATACCAAATTCATAACAAACCAAAATTAGTATAAAAACTGTAAATGTTTACTCAATCAACGACGGAATGCAATTTATAGAATGCAACATGTATTCCTTTGCAAATCACAAAAATAAGTATGTATGTTTGTACATATGTACATACATACATATCGTCGTTTAAAGTGCAAAACCGCGTATCAACAAAATGCAAAACCGCGTATCAGCAAAATGCAAAACCGCGTATGTGAAGTTGTAGAAATTATTTTCTAGAGCGTAAAAACACTCATATTTCAAAATGGTTCTCTTTTTTATAAAGCAATCGCCTTTCTGGCTAGTATATTTCAGGACGAATGGATAAGGATTGAGCCAAGAGCTTGCGTGAGCTAATCCAATTTTTGGCAGCCAATGTCGTTTTGCAGAATGACGATACGCGGTTTTGTACTTTAAACGACGATATGTTAATACTTAAAAGGAGCCGCCGGTTGGGCTACATATGTACATACATACATATGTATATATTTTCGTACAAACGAGCAAATTTGAAATTGAGGCAGAAAGTAGCGGCCACAATGTTAAATTAATGTAGTATAAGGGAAATTCCCTTTCAGCTTTTACTAATTTAGCCTACCATCCTTACTACGGCCCTCCCAGCTAAGCCACATTCATATGTACATACATACATACATACCGTGCAGAAAATCTTATCAATTGATAAAGATTAACCCACTTTTTGTGAGCTTTTTTTGTAGTTAACTACAAAAAGTTAACTGCAAACTCGTTGAAAAGAAATGCAGGAGTAATGCAGACGCAATCTGGAGATTGTTTTCTTTAAACAAGTTTCTATTTAAATATTCTCATACAAATTTTACTGTAAATACACTTTCTTTCTGCACTTAACAAATTCTATTTTCGAATTGAGGACAAATAAAAGCAAGATCGAAACTTTAGTTCGAATAAGGGACCACCTACAGCAGAATATGTAAACAATAATAAAATGTAATCAAATATCCAAAAGTAGTTAGTTACAAGTTAGGTGACATCTAATGCAGAGGTAAACACCCTTCACAATTTCGCGGCCATCGCCATAGAAATATAGTTAGCTTTCCTCAAATAAAATATATAATAGTGAGTTTAGTTGCTTCCTAATCAACTTCAACTTAACTTATAGTTAGATACATACATTTCCCGCAGGGTATGTAAATATGTATGTGTATTATGTATTGAATCGCTTACGTTGTAGTTGTTGTATGCCGTTTGGTTTTAAACTTTGACTCACCTAAGTGTTTTTTTTTTTTGTTTTCTTTATTATTCCGAGTACGATTGCTATTTCTTTTCTCAGCTGCTGAAGTGAATTCTACAATGTTTTTATTGTTTTGTTTGGCTTTATTGTTGTTGCCTGCGCTTTTCGTATTCTCAATTCGTTATTTGGTTGCTGTTGCCTGTGCTGTTGTCGTTGCTGTTGCTATTGGTGCTGCTGCTGCTGCTTCTAGTTACGACCGCTGCCACTACTAAGAAACCTGTTTTTCACAATTCTTCTTCTATACACTTTTCGCGTACACTTACATGAGCAGAGATACTCGTACACACATATTTAATGCACAAATACATATGAAAATATCATCATAAACACACACACAGGCACGGGCGCGCGCGCGAACACACAAATTTCGCACTTTTTCCTTCTTCACCTTCTGCTAGTTTTTCTATCAATTCGACTGCTTTAAATTTTCCAGATTACTACTACATACATATGTACATACATACATAGAAATATTGAAAGAATTGACTTTATTGCGTTACTTTTCCGTTTTCCGTTTTGTAGTTGTAATAATTTTCGCGTTATGTTGGCCGAACCCGAAACACCACCATGCAAATATCTTTGATTTTCTTATTCACTTAGCCTTCTGCTAGATACGAGTGGCTACCGTGTATTTTCTTCACACTCCCATACATACACATACATACATCTATACAGATCTGCCAAGCTTCAATATGAACGATATATGGATGTGTGCAAGTAAGCACTGTTGCTTTAAGACTGGTTTGATGGAACTTTAATTCATTCTTAAAATTTGTTATTAATACAAACAAACAAGAAATTTTTCAACACTCATTTAAATGTGAAGGAACAAATAGTGACTTCAGTCGTGGATGCCACGTTCCCCCCGTATTACTAACAAACACCAACATTCGACCGTTCCACGTCGAGTCTATCCGATGACTACTGGTACCCAACTCAAACAGACTGACTACTGCTCCAACACACGCTTTGTAAAGTCCAAATAAAATTTTGTTTTCAATTTCTCTTCCAAGCCTGCGCGCTCGTTGACTTACTCTCTCGGTATTGTTAAACATACGCCAAGGTGGTTGCGAAGAACGAACGGCAAAGCACAAAAAACCGTAAACAACATTTGGCCAAGAGTAGCTCTTATGCTCTGTTTCTTCTTATTGCTGCCTATAAACAAATATGTATAGCATGGGATTTGATTATACCCGAGTGTGTAAGTCGATAAGTTTGTTTTTCTTTTTTTTTCATATTAAAATGGTATCTCTGTGAAATGACTAACTACGCTTGAAAATTAGTTGCATGGCATATTTTTATTCAGAGACAAAACGGCAAACATACATACGTACGTACATATGTATGTATTTGTTTTTGGTAAGAGCTTAATTTTCAAGTGGCTACAGCACCAGTTGCTCCACTACACATTTGTACAAACACAAATCATGGCTTCGACCGGTAACAGATGATTAGCAGTCGACGTTCGTTTATTTCATTTCCGATTGTGAGCATTTCGCTTTGCGGTAAACTCTTCAATCAGCAGGGTTGCATTTGTGAACATTTATTTAACAAACTAATGCACTGTCTTTATCTAATTTCGGGTAGCATAATTTCGCGGAATCAAAGAACTTACACGTTACTAACGGACCTAAGCATCGAACTCTGATCAGCGTTGCCATTTTAGCCGTTTTCCGGCTAGATTTAGCCGGTTTTGATAGCAACTAGCCGGAGAAAATTCGATCTAGCCGGCAGCCGATTTGTTAGCCGGTTTGTAAAAAAAAAGTTAGCCGTTTTTAGCCGATTTTACTATTTGCCTAATTTTCAGGTGCAAAAAGTAAACAAGTTGTTCGAAAGCAATAATGCAGACCCAATGAAGATTTTTAATGAACTCAATGTTTTACTTTCGCATCTATGCTCCCTAGTGGTTATTAGCGCGGACACATTTGATCCTATATGCTCCCCGTTGGAACCATACCTTGCTCCATTTCCTCAGTTTTATCACAGTTTTGAAGAGTATTTAAAAACAAAAGTAAGCACAAACGCTTTTGACCACGAAGCCGAGAAAATAATTCGAGAAAATGGTCGCTATTTTGTTATCACTTTAATAATATTACTTTAATAATAAAGGAATTACGCCAACGCCTCCCTACAAATATTGCCACACTAAAAAAAATTGACTTTTTTCGGTTGGAAATGCATTAAGAGTAATTAAACCAAAAGTATTTGTTCAACTACAGCAACAAAAACACAAATATAATGCCGACGAAATAACATCCATAGAGATGTAATGGCAACGGTTAACGTTACATACCTGGAGTAATTTAGACTCAACTGTAAAATTTTGGGCCGAAGTTTATCAATTTCGAAATGCCCTAGGAGAAAACCCTTTTGCTGACCTTTCCAACCTAGTTTTTAGTTTTCTTGTTTTGCCTATAAGTAGAGCGAATATGTGCGTTAAAACGTTAAACGCTATTTTATATATAAGATATGGTTTAAAACGTGAAGAAAAATGCTGCCATAGTTTTACTGTAGATGACGATCTCTTAAAATTAATGAATTCAGGTGATATATACAATAGTGATTCATTTGATGATGAGGAATATACACTCGATATAAATTAATGGTGTTAACTAGTCTTTCGTTTCTTGCGATTTATTTAAATAAAGCATGTGAATTTGCACTAAAATATTTTAGCCGTTTTTTGCCAGAGTCTATGTGAAATTTCACTAAAACATTTTAGCCGTTTTTAGCCGCTTTTTTTTGCCAATCTAGCCGGTCGGCCCAAAAAGTTCTGGCAACACTGACTCTGATAGGTGACAATCGGTCAATATGGAGTAGAGCAGGTGCCCCTAAAAACACGCAACATTCAGTTACATTTCACCCATACAGCCAAATTTAGCTGATTACACATTGCATGTGTTCTTCTTCCATGCTGTATACTTTAAGGCACCACTGCTTTTCATTTAGAGAATTTTAGCGAAAAAATTTTGCGTAGCGATTGTCAATAGTCTACTACTGGATTCGTTGAGCGCTTAACCGCACAGGATAGCCGATAAATCAGCTAAGTATGCGCTAGGGCTTTTGCAGGCCCAGAACGAGGGCGTCCACACCACCGCGTGGAAGGTAATCTCCTGCATCGGTGAGGAAACGGGCTCAAACCTAATCTGGGTTACATTACATTTTTCATTACATTTACATTTTCCTCAAGTTAAAAGGCTTTAGTGTTAACTACATGTATAGCTTCGTCACGGTGAGGCCGTGGTGGCAGAAGACCACAGACAGCAAGGAGTCAGAGTCGCAAGACGTGCAAGTCGATGTGGCAGCTGACTCCACAGCTCTCCAAGCGACTCAGTCGACCACGGTCTCATCGAACAACTAGCCACCAGATCAAGACCAGTACTAGGTCCTGCTTGTGCTCACGGTCCAGGCCCCACGCACGTAGCGCGCAGGAGTTCCTAGCCGACATAGGAAGCTTGGAACTCGACAGGAGAAGCGAGAATGATGTGCGGCTCTCGCATCTTTACGAGCCCATCCTATGAGCACACCGCACTTGGCAATAGCCCAGGTCAACATGCATTATGCGGTGCCTGTTTCGGCGGTTATTCGGAGCAGTTTTTCCACGGATGACCTGGGACTTCGTTAATCCAAAAGTTTACTAGGAGGGCACAATCTAAAAAGATACAGGATACTCATAGGTTTTTGACGGACAACTTCAGGCTAAGATAAGGTAACAAAATGTTGCTCCGTGAAATATGCAATGCCAGATTTTGCACAATTCTTCATAGCTGAATTGCTGAATATTTTAACTGCATTACCAACGTTCCTAGAATCGCGGTGACAAGAACTGGTAACATTTTTTGGGAATAAAATTTTCCAGTTACAAAATCTTCGGTAACGTGCAGATTAGACACATAAGAGGGCACTTGTATAATTTAGGAATCTGGTATGTGACGCTGCTAAGGAGACTCCATTACACCTCCTTCTGCAGTGTGAGGCCATCGGACGTAGAAGTGAGGGGAGCATAGGGCATTTATGGCCAAAACAGGATCACATACACACGCTACCCTAGGGATCAAGTCTTAAATTTCTAGAGTCTGTAGGGCTGGGTGAGGGTGATGGGCTGAGGTCACAATAGACCTACTGGTCGCGATGCTTTATTCTACTGTCTATCTATATATTTACATGGCTATCTATTACCTTTTCTATGTAAAGCTTTTAATACAAATGACGTTAAGCAGATCGGCCTGAAGGATTTTGGTTGAAGGGGGTCCTTATTTCCGTTCTTCGGGATGAAAATTATGTTCGCTCTTCTCTACGCATTTTGTATAATTTTAAACAGCGGTCTAATGACGAAATCTAAGCCCTGCTGGAGCATGCCAGGGAATATTCCATCCGCTCCCGGTGGATTTAGTTATTTAAATGTCTTCACCTCCTACCTGGGGCTGGGATCAGAGCATCTTTCCAGCCAGTTTTCTCTGCTTGTTTTCCCACTATGTTCAGTCCGACTATGTTGTAACCTCCGTCGTACGTTCATGCTTTCACAGCTTAAACGCGTGGATTCCCTTATCTCTGTGTTGTACAAAGTGTTTCTGTAATCTGACCATTCCCCGGTTTGACAATTTCCCAGTTGACCAATTTTCGGACTTTGGTTCTGAGGGGTAGATCCCTGGAGGAACGTACCTTACTTATAGGACAAGTGTTTTCGTATGCATCCACGAGTAATTCATTAAAGTGCTCTGCAGCGTATTCTAGTTCTGTTTTTTCAGCTTATCATTAAACTTCGCCGAACATTTTTTCCTCGGATTCCTTAAAACTCTTTGTATAGAAGGGGTTGCTACAATTCAAACCTAATTTGTTTTATGATCAGACATGGAAGGTTATATCTTCAATCTCTTACTAGCGCTTTCGTTTGAGTTTTTTGTATGTTAATGTCATGGACCTCTTCCCTCGCGCGGGTAACAAAAGTTGGTATATTCTCAATATTAAAGATCTCTAATTTATTACTAACGATAAACTCCAGGCCTTGCTATGCGCATTTTGCTGCGAAAATGCGAAATCGAAAGTCCACTTTCCCGTGTAAGCAGCCAGAAAGGCCTTTTGCAGATGTGAAGAAATAACTTTCGGAAATAAAAATTGTAAATTGTAAAGGTGCGGTTAAACGTGGTATGCTTGCATTTACCTACTCGTTTGCCTGCCAAAATGCCAAATCTAAAGTCAACTTTCCCGCGTAAACCACAAAAAAGTCCTATTTGCACTTTCGGAAATAAAAATTTCAAGGTTTGACTGCAACTGAAATTAGTTGTGCTAGTAATTTTAATTTTAATTGGCAAGTTTTATTTTCAGAAATAAAAACTGCTTTTGAAAGCCACTTTACATGCAAAGTGTACGGTGTACCTGCGCCTGAAATTTCTTTTTGAAATTCTTGAGTTTGGCAGACTTTTAAAAGAACTTGCGTTACTTTACACCTTGTAACTTTTATTTCCGAAAGTGGTTTCTGCAAATCTGCAGAATTACTTTTTAGATGTTTATACGGGAAAGTAGTCTTTCAAGTGTTTGCATTGCTGCGTCTTACTGTACTTATAGACTTAAAAAAATTCGTGCGTTCTAGGTATGGACTTAAATAAGTTTATATAGAAATGCAATAACTTAGCTACAATGTTAAAAAAAAAAACAACCAGCATTCGGTAGAAACTGACAGCCCTATTCCCACGCCAATGACTAAACTCAATTATTGCCGCAAATTTATTTTAATCGTTCTAATGGTGAAAATTGTTATTGTATTATTGTTATGACCTACTGAGTACGCGACAAATTCGAAACAATGCTTATATGTATTGTTTTAGGCGCAGCAATTGTGACAATAGTCATACGATGAATTTTAGCAATGTTGTGGGAATAGGGCTGTTAATCTGTCAAATTGTAAAAATACCTCACTTATTAAATTTACTTTATGACATATCGACACGATTAACAGGTCTATTCTGCAAATTTTATTACCAAAAAATGTTACCTCTTCTTGTCACCGCGATTCTAGGTACGTTGGTAATGCAGTGAAAATATTCAGCAATTCAGTTATGAATATTTGTGGATATTCCTGTATTGCATATTTCACGGGGCAATATTTTGTTACCAGCTTATGAGATGGTAATCAAATTTACCGGTTGCAAGAGAGCAAAGAATGCGAAAAAGGTTTAAAAATTGACAGACACTTTAATTACCGGTTACAAAATTTATGTTACCAGCGCAGAATAGACCTGTAAAGCTCAACCCAGAATTACAGCGGACGACGTGGTTAACTATTAACCGGTCAGATCTGTTCTAATTGGTTCATGGTTTTTGATAACTTATACGTATTTCCTTGTCTCGACAGAATTGTCTAATGTAAACACGCCGAAAATTACAGCTTTTGATTTCCTATTTGCAATGACACCCTGTGCCGCTTATATACTTGTTCACTCTAACACACAAACCACCGCTTTGCCCGCTCGGATCTGCTATCTCTGTCATGTGGCATTATCGTTCCAAATAACAACAAAGCACAGTAATCGGAAGCAGAAGCAGCGAAAAGCGAAAAAGGTCGGAACAATTATTGACAGAACTTCGGGCTTCGGATAGGAAAATGTAATATAAAAGGTCAAAATTGTTGAAAAAATATAGAAACAAAAGGCATACACTAATCAGTGTTTAGTGAATTAAAAAATTTTAGCGTTCCACACAACAAAGCACTTATTTGAGGCTGTGAAAAATTGCAAAACAAGCGTCGATCCGATCGTCGGTAAGAAGAGGAAGAATAATTGGAAGCAGCAGCTGCTGCTCATCGTTGCGTGAAGGCGACAGCGCGCTGCTGGCGCCTACATTGCTTTGCATTGGTGGGGCGACGCTGGGGCTAGCAATTCTGCTTTTTATCCTATACTTGGTGCCAAAAAAATTTATTGAGAAAAAACAATTTTTACTTCTTTTTTAGTTACTTAATAAAACGCAAAAATACGGGCGAAGATCGTGAAGGTGCTTGAGCTTCGGTTTCAAAGAGGGTGAATTGGATAATTGGCAGAAAATGGTGCGTCGACGTGCAACAAAAGCTGGCGCGCTTACTGCTGCAGTAGGACGAGGCGTTACCAGTAATTTATTAGAAAATGGAGAAGCTAAGGCCACAGCAGTTGGCTGTGCACATCTGGATGAACAATATTTTGCCAGTCCTAAACGGAAAGATTGTAAAGTTGAAAACTGCACACATGAAATGTTGCTTATTCGGAAACAGAAAAACGAGAAAGAAACGAAAGCACACGGAAAAACAAAATCGTCATCATCTACAGTCAAAGCAAGTAGCGAAAGGGGCGGTATTGCAGGTCGCACCATTGGTAAGTACTCGCACACGCTGCTATCAGTAAACCGCGCGCTTTTTTTGGTTTATTATTATATAAGTTCCGACAAACTTTAATATAAAACCTAACACCAAACCTTCATTTCTTTTATGTTAATGCATTTTTTCTTGTAGGTGTTCCTTTAGCCACGCGGTCTCAAACACGTACAATAGAAAATTTTTTCAAAGCTAAAAATGCTGCCAGTAATGAAAAAGTGCAGGAGAACGACGAGACAAAGATTGAAGCACTAAATTCTGGGTCGGATGAAGCGTATTCGTTTGAAAACTTGCCCTACTACAATGGTAATGCACAGCCACCGACTCCAGACACGCCATGTGAACTTGACGAAGACACAAACGACACTGAATATTCAGCTCAACTAACAGAGGAAGCTGTTTTTGGGGTCGACTTTTTTACACACCGTTCGCAATTACGTGATAGTCACTCATCAACAGGCAGCGCGTGTACAAATATTAGCAATACAGAAAATATTTTTCTACAGGAACCTGTGCTGACATTAAATGTCGATAAAACTCCCAATCAAGCCACATCCATCAAGATCAATACGACATTAGAAGTAGAGCCGGTATTTTCTTCGCCGCCAGCACTCGCATCTGTACTGAATGGCCGTTTTAATCAAGTTGTTACGCTCAATATACAAAAGATTTCGCCTTATAAGCGTGAACCATTTTCTTGTAAATTACAAAATATGGCTGAACTTACCTGTCATCAGCGTGATGTGGTAGAAGAATTGGTACCAGATCAGGACAATGAGGTTCAAAACGATAATGACAATGACAGCAGCTCATGCGATAGTGGCGTTGCCTTCACCGCCTCGCTCAAAATGGAGGAACTGCGTGCGGAAGAGTACGATAAAACCAATGCTGTTGCGACTGGTGAACCGGCACGTCGAAGAAAACCAGCAACACCACATCGCATCCTCTGTCCCTCACCAATCAAGACTATGCCTCACATGATCTCACCAATGCACGCTGCCATTGCGACCGGCAGAATCTCGTCTCCATCTGGTCGCAAAATTAACAAAGAGCATTTATCGCCACGTAAATCACCACGAAAAGTTACAAATATTCACTCGAAATCACGCCGAAGACTGAATCAGCAAAATGAGTTTAGTGCATTCAATGCTGGAGACGAATCAAATAAACCGCTAAGTAATGGGTATATAGTTTCAATGGTGAGTTTTCAGTAAAGAAAAATAGAAGTAACTTCACTTAAAAATTTAAAATAATTTTTTAATTAGCTTTTACAAACGTATGTATATAAAACGTGGAATATCTTCAGCAAAACGAAACTATAACTTTATCCGCCAATAATTGTTTTCGTATTTATGATTGCTAAATAAGGTAGAAAGGAGTTAACCTTGCAAACTTTTCCAATTTTCAAAGAATTGAGGGTGTTGATACGAATGCGCAAAGAATTTTTTTCTCGACAATTCCTTAAAGAAAATTTTGAATTAGTTTTTCCAACCACAGCGTTATTATCGTCACTTTACCGTTTTTCTTTAAGAAGTTCGTAAAATAATAGAATTGTATAAATAAAATACATTTGATTGTAGAAAATTCGGCAAAAATTGGGTAAGGGAAATTGTGATTTCTTTACGAATTCTAGATTTCTCTACTTTTCAGATTACTCTGAGAGTTTGGTTTGCAGGGTGGTAACAATCACGGCAAATACTCCTCGGTACTTTCTTGATATCATTTGTTAGGGCTGATATCTTTTTCATTTAAAATTATTTTTTTTAAATCATTAATATGCTCCTCAACTGCACCTAGGTGGACAACAATGTTATTGAGGATAAGCACCATGAAGTCCTCAAAAGCGAAAATCTTAAAGCAGACATCCCTACTCATTCACACAAGTGTACTTTGATTAACGAGAATATGAAACAACCACAAAAACCGCTGACTTCTAAAAGTCACATAGTCAAGACGAAATTGCAAAATGGCTTCCCACTGGCTATAACAAACAATAATCGCGACCTGAAAGAATTCTTTCCCGTTCGTCGTAGTGTGCGTAAAACAAAAACTGTCGTAAAAGAGGAAATGATGCGTACTCTAGAAAAGGCTATAATAGAAGAGCAGGCCGATGGACTTAAAGTGGCGCACTTTGAAGGCAAAGGCCGCGGAATCATAGCCGATCGACACTTTCAACGCGGGGAATTTGTTGTAGAGTACATAGGTGATCTCATATCGATGGCCGAGGCAAGCGAGCGCGAGAAGAGTTACGCTTTGGATGAAAATGCAGGCTGTTATATGTACTATTTCAAACACAAAAATCAGCAATATTGCATCGATGCAACGGAGGATACCGGAAAACTGGGACGACTAGTGAATCATTCGCGAAATGGCAATCTCGTTACAAAAGTAGTAGTAGTTAAGCAACGTCCGCACTTGATATTATTGGCTAAAGATGATATTGAGCCTGGCGAGGAATTGACCTACGACTATGGTGATCGCTCAAAGGAGTCACTATTGCATCATCCTTGGCTGGCATTCTAGAAACTCAGCAGAGGTTTAAGGAGGCTAATCCACATTTAGCATGACAAGTGCAAGCAAATCAAGGGCACAACGATGAAAATCGTAGAGAAGAGCTATTATCTGTCAAAATGCTACTTAAACTTAAATGAAATGACTTTGTTCGTGTATTTCTTTGGCTCAAAGGCAGTATAGCTGCTCAAGTAATAATAATATTATAAAGAAAGGGTTCTAATGATAAATGCCTATGGTTCGAAAAAGCGTATAACTTATAAAAAAAAAAACAATAATAGAAATTTAATAACATTAACATTTTGTATACTTATTTCGGTAATTGTTAATGCTTTATTAGTAATAAGTCCAAAAAATGGGCCTTGCACAGTGTAACGGAAGAAGAAGTTAATGTATTGATTTTAAATGCAAAAAAAGGCACATTTTTAAGAGTAATCGAAATTTTTAGCCTTACATTGAAAGCGAAATACTAAATTATATTTGTTGAAAATTAGACTTTTCAGGTAACGAACTACATATTAATTTTGGGTAATGCCTCCAATAAGGTATTTCTTTAATTTTCGATCTACATTGTTACACTGTGCTAGTCTCTTTTTATCTATCATTCTACAACATAACTGAATTGTGTTCAAAAAGCACTGCGCCGATGACGGTATTCGTGCCAGTTACATACAATGAAATTTAAAGCTGGAAATTCACTGCAATTTTTGAGCAACATTCGAAATTTTCTTTTAAATGTGCCACAATTCAAATTTTTCTTGTAACTGCACAGTAGAATAAATTAGTTTAATTAAAAAAGAAACAAGTGCAGTTGTTTGAAGCACTCTTTTTGCAAACAAAAGCGAATGACGCCTATACCACTTGGATCGCATATATTAAGATAGTACATACAACACACAGTCAGATACAGACACGTTTTCAGAAACTTACAAAATCTATTTAAATAAATTATGTTAAAAAGGCATATGGCATTGTTGTAATATTATTAAGTTTAATTTGTATCTTTAATCATTAAAAAAAAAAAACTGCAGTTACACGAATAAATACATGCGTATTACACACTTCTTTTGTGACTAATAAAAATAACATATGAACACTTAAACGTAAATGTAGTTAACAATTTACATATTTATATGTGGTCCTAATGGCCGTAGGTATAATAATGAAATAAATATACATACATACATATGTTTTAATATTATGAGTAACTTAAAAGGCAGTATACATTTTGGCTAATCGTAAGTTTAAATTATATATAACAGAATGCCCATCGAATTGGTGTTAAACCCCGCAGCATAGCATAGTACTTACATATCTGTGGACTTTTGGCAAAATAACTTCTCTCGAGTGAGGTCATTTTCTCTTCAAAGCAGTAATTCATTGAGTTCTCAAATGTTATTTTTATGTTTAGTCATTAACAGGAGTAGTTCAAGATGATATCTTAATGAAAGTTAAATAAACATGTAACATTTTTAAATGGAAGTTCTTTATAGATTACTCTAAATTCCAACCTACAGAAAGCACAGAGGTTGTTTTGTCAAAAGTCAACAGATATGTACATCTGTATATGTGCTCACATAATATATTTTTTTGTAGATAAATGCATGTCATTTTATTATGTTTGCAACTATATATTACAAACATATCTACATATATCTACTAGATGCAAACTAACTCATGACAACCACAAAATATCAAGAATATGATTTAGCAAAGAACAAAACACAAAAGCAAATGTATAGTATAGTTTCCCAGCAGGCCACTAGGTCAGCAGTGACATACATAATTTATATCAACCCAAGGCAAATGGTAAGCATTATAAGTTCGTAAATATATTTTTGTTATCTTATTCACAACACTGCTGTTACATTTGAACAAAGGTAGAGAAATCTGTAGACATAGTTTGAGCCTTTATAACAATAAAAATAAATAAATTGAACAAATTTTTGGCGCTAATATTTTTGCTAAGTAATTCGCTGAGATTTTCACCCAAATTATGGTGTGCATCTTGGTGTTAAAGCGAACGGCAAATATGTAGTTTTATGAGAAGATTCTTCATGGTAGGTATATATAATTTGAGATTGGCCAGTGCCTGCCAATTGGCGCCCGCTGTTAGAAAAACTTAAGGCGTTGCTGGGACCAGGGACCGACCTGGGGTCCTACATTTATTTATAGTCTTATATTAGCTAGCATAAAGGACGGTTTCAACAGCATAAGCTTGCTTCTGCTACTATAAACTCAAAGAATGGAAATAAAAAATTCTAAAACACTTATCTTTGTAGAGTTGAATGGTGAAAACGAAGAGTAAATTGAGCCTAAAATATATTCAGTTTGGTAGGAAATGTGCTTGAATATAACGAAATCGTATACGCTTGAGCGACTTTCTTCAATATCTCGCAATAACTTTCTTAACGCGGTTCTACTTTTTGAAAGCGGTTTTATTGTTATTTAAAAAATATGTTCTAAATTTCTTTCAGAAGCCCTGAGTAGAACAACAAATGTTGAAATATTTTCGTCAACTTTGTAAAATAAATTTCACTGAGACTCGTGGCATTTTCTTTTAATATGCCGACAAGACTTCATAGCCATTTCTACTGGTTGATCTAGCAATGTATAAGCGACCGTTGTGAGATGGTTTTTTTATTTGCTGCAGCCAGAAAGAGATCGTTAGCGCTAAATCGCTGCCAATATAAATTTTTTTTTTAAGAAATTCGAATAAGAAAATTAAATCCTTGCAATTTTCTTATACACTGCGAATTATAGTAGTCTTTATTTGCCCACATCGAATTGGAATTTGAAATATTTTGTGAACTTTCATGTGCACATTCTATTGGACATTTCCTAAAAATGCAATTCGAAAACAGCAAATGGTTTTCTGTAGCAGGCGTTAAAATAAATAAATTTATTATATAATAATATCAATAAGAATAGTAAATTTACTTACAGTATCTGTCATATCAATGCACCCCTATTTCAAAGTGATATTGTTTGCTACTTATTTTTTTTATTTTTAAGAATTTTCAAATAAAACAGTTCTCCAACAAAAATACATTTCACTAATAGTTCATTTCCGCCATGCCTTAACTGCAGTTTATGCCTATTGAAAAAAAGGATATTACATCTCGTAGGCGGTAACTCCACCTATTAAGTAGTTTTGAAAGGAAAAAAAGCAAACATTGAGAAAAAGACCTTGCCGATCACCCCACGTTAAAATTCTTGGAACTTATCTGCAGTTAAGCCTTTGGTGAAAATAGGACATAGCAAAACTCATATTAACTCATAAAAATAAATGTGTTTATTCGTTATACATATGTATGGAAGAAAACCGTAACCGCTTGTGTAACACTTCTGAGAAAAATTTTAAAGTTTGGTTGAAAACCTGTTGGATTTTTTTTTAATTTTCTACAAAGTTTTATACTTGCGTTTACATGGGTTTAGTTAAAGAATGAACTCTGTTTAAATTGTTAATTCCAAAAAATACATAAAAAAAACATGAATTGCATACAATATCACTTCGAAAATGGATTGCTATTGATATGACCCATACTGTATATCGATGGCTGAGTGGAAAATCGACCTATCTCGGCAGCCAGTTCGAAAACGGCCTATCTCAGAACATTTTTCAACAACGCACTATTTCGGAATTTAATTGAAGAACGCCCTATCTCATCACATTTTCATTGTATTTTCGTTTGAGATAGGGCGTTTTCGAACTGGCTGCCGAGATAGATGGATTTTCCACTCAGGCATCGATATACTCAAATATGTATCTTTGTAGATATGTACATATGTATGTATATACATATACAAATGTATATAAAAAAAAAACACCTTGACCAGATGTTTTCATAAAATTAATAGGCTTAAATGCATAAATAGACATTTGGTATGTAGAAAAAGGGCCTAAGGAATAATAGCCTAATCAAAACGGGGCTACTTTACACTCAGAAGCACTAAGATAAGTTTACATACATCTACGTATAGGATAAGTAGTCGTGCCTGAACTACGGAAGCGATAAGTATATAACTTGTAAAGAGATGTATTTCCTGCATGGTTTTTTATTTATCTTTTTGAATTCTATTTTTAAGCACAAAAGATACAAAAATATCACTAATGTGCGATTAAACGCAAAATTAATTTTATGCCGGATGTTAAATTTTTCATGGCTTCATTAGTTAGTTGCTGTGCCTAATATAAATGTATACATTTAAGATTTTTGGATTTGCTTTTAACACCGCTAACAACATAAACACATAAGTGCATATGAACAGCTGTTAAAAGATATATACAATAAATTACTGCAAATTTGTATAGTAAATATTTTTTTTGCGCAGATTTGTTCATAGTTTATTTTGCTTTCTCTTCATATGGTTGTTAAGTGCTTACATGTATTATTCATACATTTTTATTTTCTTATTTGAAACCCACATACTATACGCAGTTTTCACGCTTCACTTCCGACTTACTATTTAATTCACAGACTTAAGTTAAATTACGTAAAATAAATGTAATTCAAGATAAAGTTAAAGTATAAGAACTGCGTAAAAATTGTTGAAATATTCGTTAAAAGAATGGTAATATTGTATAAGCTGTAACCGGGGATCTTAAATCAATGTGCGTATTCCCACCCACCTGGTTATTGGGTTATCCTCATGGCAGGTCATGTTTTTATTCAGTTTATATTAAAATACACTGAAGAATGGCAATTTTGAGCTATATATTTAAAATTAAAAAAAAAAAAATGGTTTTATACGAACTAAACTAGTTTGTATGCACACTTTTAACTGGAGCTACGTAAATATTTTGGTCTGCCTCTTCCAATCGACACAGTCAAAATTGTTCGCTTGTTCGTAAATGCAATACTGCTGCATTACTACAGTGATGCACCTGTTCAGCATGCGTAAACACGTTTAAATGCCGAAGTGGAGCTCATTTGAGAAAATCAGCAAATTCTATTAAATATATTTGATGAAGAAACAAGTTTATTTTTTTTTGCAATAATGCTGCAGAAAGCATTTACATATGTACCATTAGGCGCTGTTTTTAGCATTCGTATGACAATGAAAGAACAACATATGTAATGCAAATAATAACAGAAAACCTAAATATTTGCTAATAAATTTTTGAATTAACATTATTTTCCTAAATTCGTTCAATGAAAAAAATAGTGTCAATAATACAACACCAAGGTCAAGAAAAGTTAAAAGAAACTAAGCAATTCGAATACCAATAAATGTAAAAATTATAATACATATCGTTACTTCAATAACAATACAAAAATCCGTAACTCGAAAAAAATCCAAAATTTACTTTTTTATTGATTATAATGCATTTCATCGTTTTATGCAATAAACATTTTCGGTTAGTTGCAACTTTTTTGCATTTCAGCGCCGATGTGAGATAGGACCTTTCTATACTTACACGTAACGTTGTATGTACATATTGCTCAACCAAATACCCAAAAAGTTTGTTAAGTATTTGAGAATCAATACGCGCAATGCCCATAACTTAAACTTAACTTACAGCGATCGGTTACACATACATATTACTTACAAAAATATTAAAATCTGAATGAAACGTAAAAACAAACACCTAAATTTAAGTAAAATTAATTATGAAAAAATAATAAATTTATATGTAACTATTTAGTACATAATATATGCACTGATATTCACAAAAAAAAATAAAAATAAAAAAATTATAACCAAAAAACTGGAAATTCATTTTATTAAGAACTTCAAGAATTCATTTCACTAGCTTAGAGTAAAAATTTGGTAAGTCCGTTTCTAGAAACTTCGAATAAAATGAAAACAACTTCTTATTCCAGAGACGTTTACACCCACACTCCACCTCAGTCGGGAGAAATACCTGCAACGGCTGGAGTCATTTTAGGACCTACTCAGGTCTTAGAACTTACCGGCGGTAGCCCCGTGCAGCCACACTCCCACCTACTGCTGCCGTAAACCCACGTGAAAACCAACAGCTCCCAGCCCTTACGCTTTCTGCTCGGTGTATCAGTCCAGGATATACCGTAATGTGACATCAGTCAGGCGCAATTCCTGCCTTGGCTGGTGCCACTTTAGTGTATGTCCGGGACTGCACACCACGCGAGAATAGATGCGAAACTTCGCGGGCGCTTGTTACAGTGCTTCACAATCGTAAACCTCTTCTGCGATTTCGCCCTCTACCACCATAAAGCAGCATCCCCAACAACAGCTCATCGATCCGTCTCCCAAGGTACACAAAGATACTACAACTAAACTTTAACGGACTTCAGACCAAGATTGAGGAGGTAACCGTTTTCATGGGTCGACATGGAATATTGATTGCTGCGGTCCAAAAGACGAAGATGCACTGCAACTCGACATTGTCGAGCTTCGCTGGTTATAATGTGACCTAGCTTGAACAAATTGGGGCATGCGGGAGTGGACTATCTCACCAAAGTTAATTATTAAATCTCAAAGCTCCTTCAAGCACCAAAGGGAGCCTGTATTGTCACTTATGCTAACGAATGCTCGATAATGGCGTCTGGGAACGGAATTAATGACTTCTGCTCAAAAGTAAACGGTTACCTTTCGGAAGTTTTTCGCTTCTTTACTGCAAGGAGCCTACAGCTCTTACCTACGAAATCCTCAGCAATCCTTTTTACAGCTGAGAATTCACGTTGATGGCGAACCAATTACGACTGTGAATAACCCACAAATTTTGGAAGTTACTTTCGACAGACTGCTCTATTTCTCGGCGCATACAACTGCAATTGTCAGTACAGAGTACAGAGTCGCAACAAGGTGCTCAAGACAAGGCAATGGGTTGCAGGAACTAACAAGACGCAGTGTACGAAGCTACAGACATGCCAGAATACGGCACTCCGGCACCACCTTCACGACGCTTGCTTGCAGCAGGCACGTCAGAAGGAATCTATACGAACTGACGAACGAAGTCCAGAGGATCAGAAAACAAACTCTGAAACCGACAGCATACCGACGGGCCATAGACGGCATCCACGTTGGGTAGATCTGGACTTAAACCTACTCCCGAACTGTGAATGCCGTTTTGGAAATACAGCCCCTGACGTGGACGAGACAAAACTTCGTCACACAACATACAACACCTGACGTTTACGAGAAAGTTCATGATATGAAAATTCAGAATAGGGGGAGAACTTCGTGCGCCTTGGGAGACTCGCGCCTCCATAGCCCGACTTCGCTCTAAATATTCCAGCAGGTTAAACTCGTACCTGAGCAGAGCAATTGAAGATATGCCCAACGAGTGCCACATGACTGACGGCATGCCCCCAAAACCCCACCCAGCTAATGCCCCTGTCTCTATAGGCACAGACCATACCGAAGTTGCGCACACCTGGGCCTTCCTTTAGCTTAGCCAGACAACAACGTTGATGGATGAGCCGACCCGAGCGGGGTTTAGTAGCCGCTACAACAACAACAATAAAATGGTATTGAAACAATAGTTTTTGTTATCATACACATACATATTTTTGAACGTTTTTTATTTCAACAAGCTATAAATGCGATGAATATGTTTAGCAATTTTTTGTGTTAAAAAAGTTTTCCAATAGTTTAAAAATAATAACCACTAAGAAAATCAGAAAAGTCCACCAATAAAAACTAAGCAAAAGCGTATATATTTTAAAAGTAAAAACATACATTATTGTTTGTATTGCGGAAATATTTTTAACAACTTGTGCGCGAAGGCAATGCCTTGTGCGGTGTGAAGCAAATTTTTAGTAACTATTTGGCTAAGCTAATTCTATGTTGTCGTTTAAAGTACAAAACTGCGTATCCACAAAATGCAAAACCGCGTACCAAGATAATGCAAATCGCGTATGTGAGGTTGAATAAAATATTTTCTAGAGAGTAAAAATACTCGTATTTCAAAATGGTTCTCTTTTTGTGTAAAGCAATCGCATTTCTGGCTATTATATTCCAGGACGAATGGATAAGGAGCCAAGAGATTGTGTGAGCAAATCCAATTTTTGGCAGCAAATGTCAGTTACGCGGTTTTTCAGAACGACGATACGCGGTTTTGTACTTTAAACGACGAGTATATCTTTGCATTTTACCTTATTACACCTACATATTACATGTTTGCAAATACAATAGTATTTTTATTTTATTTATATGTGAATAGGAATGTCAGTTACTGCTAGCCTTTGCATTCAATGCGTATCATTCTAAAAATAAATAATGTCTAACAACAGTAAATTGCATCCAAAATACATATATTTATATATAAGTGTCAAAAACACATCACCACGTTTTATAAATTCCGCTAACAATGCAAGCACATATTTTTGTTAACAAGTGACGATATATTTTTAGATTCAATTCAACATTTGTCAGGTAATATGCATTTGCTCTTTCCATTAATATACATACATATTCGTATGTACTGTTTAATCATGCATTAGTGCATATCATTGCTTCAATGCTATGTGATTGTAAAATTTCTAAAATTAACTTTTAAGGATGCAATAATATCTAACAAATATAAGTGTGCCTAATGACCATGAATGACTAACACTTATTGCATTTTGTCCGACATGAAATAGTACTCGAAAAATACATATGGGCAAATCTAAAAAAGCAGGTACGCTTTCAAAACAAAAAGTTTATTTTTTAAATTTGTGGGCACACCTATATATTATATATCTGACTCTCACTTGATGGCTTCAAAAGTTAGACGAGGAATAAACATTTAGATCGCTGAAATAGAAAATAAAAGAATAAGCTGGGTTCAAAATTACGCTGTGCAAGTTGTAAATTTTGAGCAAAGATTATGAAAGTTGAACTCACTTAATTGGGACGTTCTAAATTCAATGGCATCCCCCGTTTTACCAGATTTTTTAGTAAAATATCTTCAAAGCTTTTTTTATAAAATAGTTAAAATGTACGCAAAGTTTTAAGTATCGCTCTCTCGAAAAGTGGAGCTGATCAGGCTAAACTGAGTACGCTATTGAATTTAGAAGGCTCCAATTAAGTAAGAGCAGTTATCAGAACCTTTGTCGAAAAAAGTTGATTTGATACCACAAATATAATACATACTTAAAAAGTTTTTAAAATGAAAGGCTTCGAAAACTATACGCGATAAACCGAAAAATTTTAAAATTATGAACAGTAGATTTACATACTTCTCGTTACTTGGCATTTAGTTATTTTTTAATGCACACTTTAGTTACCAATTAATATGAAGTATACACCTAAGTACTAATTGCACTTAAAATTTCAAACCAGTATATGGTGTGCTTCAAAAGTTATGACATAATTAATTTTTCACCTCTTAAAAATTACATAAAAATTAACTTGGTTTTAATAGTTTTTTTTTTTTAAATTAAAACATCTGTAACTCAAAAGTTGTGCAACAAATTCATTAAAATTTTTTTTTGAGGTTTCAAGTATACGTCTATGAATTTTATCCATAAGCAACCAGCTTGATATAGTTTACAACAATAAGAATAAGGCTAAATAACACAACGGTTACCTGTTTTTTTTTAGATTTGCCCATATACATATGTATTCTACTAAACAACAATAGCGTTTATAGTTTTTATACTAATTACTATAATTTCTCGAGTTGTTTTTACTTGTGCTCAGTAGCAGCGTGATGTGCATATGTATGGATGTGAACGTGCGCTTTAACCCGTTCTTTTGGTTTATTGTGCAACCACCACAGTAGCCTCTACTTTTGGCAAAACGCCAAACTTTAAACGTAGTTGTTCGAGGAAAACAAATGTGAGTATGGTGTGTGGTCCTAGGCGTACAAAGGCCGGTATGTAGCCTTTGAAGAAACCAAGAGTTCCCAGACGTGCAGTAAACTTTACAATATCCCACAAACCCTTGAATTCACCCGGCTTAGCGTTCATTGAACGTGTCTTCAACACATCCAGTGGTTGTGTCAAAGTTGTCGCAATAGCACCAGCAGCCAATGAAGCAGTAAAATGTGTTGCTAAATCGTCCTTGAAGTACGGTGTGGTAAGCAGGGTGGTTTTAATCTAGCAAAAAGTGGAAAATTATTCGAAGTATACTTAATTGAAAATGTTTTTGTTTTTTTTTTTGTAACATATGTATGTACCTGATCATAAAATGCTATTTGACCAATTGTCATAAGCACACCTCTACCGGTAGCGGTGGTAGCGCCCGAAAACAGACGTGTAAAACCTTCATGCTTATATACTTTTACTAATCCATCGAAGGCATTCTTGTAGCTGAAAATTTTTAGGAGATTGTACGTTAAAAAAATCGATAACGGCCAAAGTTTTTAATCACAAAGAAAATAAAAATCACGTTAACTAACTTTCTGCGCTGCTCCTGTGGCAGTTTGACATCATTTTGCATGCGTACATTCACCATATCGGCGGGGGTGCCGACAATACCGCCTACGGTGCCAGCCAACCCGGCTAAGGCGATTTTACCGAGGAATGTATCAGTATTGATTTGCTTTTTTCCTCCTTCATAAATACCGAAGCGTGTCATTGAATACGTCATTTGACGTAGGACGGAAGCAGACAAACCGTTGTAAAGTGCCAGTACACCTGAAATTGATAAAATGTAAGCATATTTCGAAAATTTAAACGTCAAACTTAGATTAACAATTATTTATATTTTACCTTGCTCTCGTAAAACTTTCGCTGTTAGTTGCAATACCGATAATTTGCCTTGTTGCGTTTGCAGCGCAACCTTTATTAAGTCCAAAGGATGGGTACAGCAAGCGGCTCCTGCACTGGCAATACCACCAAAATACCAACGACCTTGACGTTGTGTGTTTACACTGGACATTTTGGGTTGGAAAAGTTACAGTTTGTATAGAAATTGGACTGAAGTGTAGATTGTGGGTGGGCTGGATATAAATTTTAGCTGAAATTGATAATATAAAGAATGCATTACATTAACTATTCACTGACATCGACAATCCAAAAAACATTTATATTTTAGTAATTTTCATACACCATACAGTATTAGCAGAACAACAGCACCTGTAGCCGACCTTGATGCCACCCACCCACTGAGTAGAAAAGTACTTCCGTTTTCAGCTCATTTCCTTTCCATACCTCTTAAAACCAAAATAATGTTGTACTTTAGTTGAGTATTTTTCTGGTTGCTTCCATGCTCTTCTACTGTGCGAATGTTTATGAAACTGTCACATTTGTTCAGAATTTATCCAGCGAGTATCCCAATCAACTGGAATGTCTAATCTAATCTCACCAAAAGGATGGACGATGAATTCTTTTCTCACTGCTGATGATGATGCTGGTGATGTATGTGTAAACAGTAGCCGGTACTGAGCTACTTGGGCGATGAGTGTAACATGAAATATGAGTCGCTCATTTATATAAAAACTTACAAACTTGACATTGAAAAGAAAACTGGCATATTTCTTTAGTTATTTACACGATGCAGCGAAATATCATTCTATCACCCTTGAGTTGTTTAGTAATATTTTTTGCAGCAATAATCAATTTACTTGATTTTAAAATTACTTGTTTTAAAATTGAGAAATAGTTACCGGGTATAAATTACTGCGCATATGAGTCAGTCTGTAAAACATCTGATTATGACATTTCCGTTTGACAGCTTTCCGGAAATCGTCAATGTTGCCAGCTCACTAACTTTGTTATACAAAATTGAAGGATCCGAATCTCCAAAGAGAATGACCCAAAAATTATGTGGGCCAATTTTGCAATTTGCTTATCTGAACAGTATTATTCCAGCTAACCTTTTTTTTATTTGCCCATTCACTGACCAAAGCGTAAAGAAAATACGAACCCGAGAAAAAAATTAATAATAATATATAGCTCCCCGCTTATATACCAGCGGACGCTTTCGTAATATTCATCCTACAAATTTTCATACAATGTGGCATAATTTATACAGTATTGGCAGCACTGCGTAAGGTGTTTGTGTCGAATTTGGGACTTTTGTTTAGATTTTTTATTTTGTCGATCTTGAAATGTGCAATTGGTGTAATACAGCTAGTAATAAGGCCTTTAACTAAACAAGAAAACAAATTGGTAAGTAAAATAGAGCCTTTTTGTCTATGTGAATCTCTTATCATCGTCTCTGACAAAGAATCACTGCAGTGCCGGCAGCCAGGTTGGTACTTTTATTTTAATATATGTATGTATGTATATGCATACTCGTGAAAAAATGCAAATTTTAATTTCTTATTTTACAATTAGCCATAAAAACAAGGACACTGTACAATTTAAGAGTGGGGGACTATCAACGACAGTTTCATATTGGTGGATAGGCGTCCATCGTAACACTATGTCCGGAAATAACTTGTGAATTTTGCCAACTATTTAAAATCCACTTTCAAGGAATTACTAAATTACTAAAAATCTATTGACTGTTTTCTTTGATTGGCGTAGGTTGATAATCTTAGAACTCCTACAGGTAAAATAGTTGGGAGTGCCTACTTACACGCGCCACGTAGATCACGGTAGAAATTTCCGTATATCCACGGAAATTTCTGAGAAAGGGTATTTACCGCGAATCCGCGGAAAAAATTACCGTGGATTCACAGTGATTTTCGAAGCGTGCGAATAACTGTATTTTTTAACAGTAGATCTACGACAAAAATTAGTGTGGAGGTTATCTATTTTTCCAACGTAAATAAACAATCCTAATTTCTCATCGGAAATCTCTGGTTCTCTTCAGTAGACTTTCAGTAATAATACCCAATTGTTTATTTAACCATTTTTTAATACTAACGATTTTTTATTGGTCCGCCCATTGCATTTTCTATTATTTTTATTATTGCGAATCTCCTGCAGATAAACAGAGTTTTCCGATAGAAAAATATTGATTCTTAAGAATTCTATACCATTTCTACGAAAAGTTTTTTTTTCCATATAAAATACATGGACCACTTTGGGCGTTTTGAGCGAGCTCTAAATATTTTTTGATTTCAAAATAAAAAAATAGGTATATATTTTTTCGGTATAGAACAATCGTAGGGGGTCAGAGCATAAAAATTCCTACTTTACTTTTTCCACATGCATTTTTGGACCACCATAATATACATACCTAAGATACTGCCATTCATTCAAAAATCAATTCGTTAATTAGTTGATCTTTTATGTGCTTATGTATAATAACTGCTAGAAAATGCAAGTTTTTGCTGGAACTTTTATGTTTTTACCAGGGACGATAGTCAGCATGAGTAAAATAAGTGAAATCAGCATTTAATCATTATTTTATGATTATCATTGAGTTTATTTTTTTTCGCTCAACGGAAATAATTTGGGTTGTAATTTTTTCAATCACAAACGATTTTTTTAGGATTTCTATTTTTTCACGCAGAGATACAAATTATTGAGGGCTATTACAGAATCCATCGTAGTCAGGTTTTTCGTGAAATCTGCGAAAATGCCATCATGGAATTCAAATAGCTACAAAAGTAGCGTATACTTTGAATACACACATTCGTAGCAATTTGGATTTAGTGATCGCATTTTCGCAATTTCACGAAAAATCGCACTACGATGGATTCTGTGATATACCCCATTATTAAGTTTTATATTTCCATTTAAAAATAATGGTTATTTATAAAATTTAGAAGGTCATACAGGCGCTACCAACTGAAATGTTAGTCTGAAAAATCTCCCACTTATTCCTCTTATTAAGGTGTCGCTACATGTGAAAAGAATACGTAGGAAATAATGCTGGTATAGCTTTTGAGTTTTTTGAATAATCATTTTTCTCAATTAAAAAAATTTAACTCAATAATAAATATTATCTTTGAGCGAAAAATAAATAACATTCGAATATTAATTATTATTTCCTTTTTGGCTGTTGTTGTTTCCGACAGGGCGGGTGTATGATATATTTTGGAACGAATTTGCATCATTTCGGCGTTGTGCCATCTTTAGTGTCATTTTTCGAAATATGTACATCATTAATTATTATCTTTAATCGTTATTGGTTAAACTCGAAAAATAAATATCATTGTAAATTACAGTAAGAAATACGGAAATACGTTAGTATACAGTATCGGTCATATCTATAGCACGCCATTTCAAAGTGATATTGTGTGCCACTTATGTTTATTTATTTATTTTTAAGAATTTTCAATTAAAATATAGTTTTTTCTCTAACAAAACCCATATAAACCCAAGTTTAACAATTTGTAGAATACTACAAAAAAGTGCAACAAATTTTCATATAAATTTCAAACTTTTTTCTCGGAAGTGTTAGAATTTTTCTGAATACACAGTTTTATAGCCCAATCAATTTTAGTCTGATAATGTGCAAGTTTCAAGTGGCTAAAAGTTACCGTTGATTTTTTAGAATTTTTTTCGCCAAAGGTGTTGCGGTTTTCTTCCATATACAAATAAATTGAGTTTATTCATTATATGGAAGCCAATGCGAAAAAAAAAATTCTAAAAAATTAACGGTAATTCGTAGCCACTTGAAATTTGCATATTATCCGACTAAAATTGCAGGGGCTAAAAAACTGCGTACTCAAAAAAAAGCTTGAAATTTAGGTACATTTTTGTTGCACTTTTTTGAAGTTTTCTACAAATTGTTAAACTTGGGTTTGTCTGAGAATGAACTAAATTTTAATTGAAAATTCTTAAAAATAAATAAATAAACATAAGTGGCACAATATCACTTTGAAATGGCATGCTATAGATATGACCGATACTGTAGGTAAAACTGTTTTACAACTTGCTGATTTTTTTGTTAAAATTTAACAAATAATGATTATTTATCGTCCCTGTTTTTTACTGCCATAATGCCAGAAAAGCTTACAGCTTCTACTTCCTTTTTTTGTTAAAATTTAACAAATAATGATTATTTATCGTCCCTGCTTTTTACTGCCATAATACGAGAAAAGCTTACAGCTTCTACTTCCACACCTTTTCACACAAATATTCAGTGGACTGTTGCAGTATATCAAAGGGCTGCATAAAGTATATCAAAGGGCTGCATAAAGTATATCAAAGGGCTGCACTTGGCAGCATTAATTCCCCGATTCCAATAAAAATTATAGGAACCCCCCGTTTAGGTTCCATTATTTATTTCATCTTTATTCAGTCTATGATTTACAATCTTACATACTACTACTCCAGTGCAATCCAAGAAAAGGAAACTGCCGGTTCTATTTCTCGAAAAGACTCAACTGCAACACCCACAAGAAATTATAAGTTGGTTCATTGACAACTTATGATGACATGAGTTGATTATTGCTTGTTTAATGTTATCCCTAACATTCACATTCGCATTCCAAAACGAAACCGGTTAAAAATGAGTTGCAAAGTAAGGTAATGGGCGACAATTGCCACCGCCAATGACATCGCCGTGTAAAATTGGACAGTTGAAAGCATTGCTTGGGTATTGAGCTAGAACTGGTACTATCGGCAAAAGGTCTAGTTCTACGCTATTTCTGAGCTAGTCAGGTTTTCTGCAGGGTACATATGTATACATATGTACATGATGCATCCAGTGCCGAACAGAAGTATTGGCACAGTGAATTTTCGCACTATATGCAACGTTTTTTATTCTAATTTATTTTCGATAATTTTTTATAAAAATATTGCTCATTCTACACCAGAAAACACAATAATAATAAAATCTCTAAACTTTTGGCAAAACTCAGGAAAATTCATTAACTTTGCACACTAGTTTGCAACTTTTTATTAAGATGTTTTAGAAAAATTCTAAGTATGCAGTTTTATAGCCCATACAAATTTAGTATATAAGTTTGAAGTCGCTAGAAAATCGCATTGATTTTTTTGTAATTATTTTTCACGCAAGTTCTTCCATACAAAGTAATTCGACAACTATTTTTTGTATGGAGAAAATGAGTAACACCTTCCACTAAAAAATTGCCAAAAATCAACGCGATTTTCTACAAATTTTAAACTTTCATTTTGTCGTACTAAAATTGAATGGACTATAAAACTGCATACTTAGAATTTTGAATAAAAAGTTGCAAATTAGTGTGGAGATTTAATGAATTTTCCTGAGTTTTACACAAAGTTTAGAGATTTTAATATTACGTTTTCTGGTGTAAAATGAACTATATTTTTATAAAAAATTATCGAAAATAAATTGGAATAAAAAACTTTGCATATATTGCGAAAAATTCACTGTGCCAATACTTTTGTTTGCACTGTATGTAAATTCAAAACTTCAAAGCCGTTTTCCTCGAGTTTTGCGTTTTTGAATTGACACTATTGAAGTATGTCGAGCCCTAACCGCCAAAAGGGCGCAAGCGACAAAATGTTCGATTTTCTGTTTTTGACCGCCATACGCACCAGCT